CTCTTCCTCCTCCTCCTTCTCCTCCTCCTCCTCCTTTTTTTCCCACCCTCATATACTTCTTTCTGACTCTCCTCCTCGCACAGGAAGATCATGTGGCCTGCCTCCTAACATATTGTATGATAAAGAGTATAATAAAACATTACAAAATGTAATGAGTGCAAAATGAATTACTTCTCGCAACCCAGCAATTTATATTACACATAATATTATGTTGGACGATAAAACTAATATAAAGAAGGGAACAACAACAACAACAACATAAAAAACACGATTAATGAAACTACCGTAGCTATTTGATTGCTTGTGTGTGTATGTGTTTGTGTGTGTGTGTGTGTGTGTGTGTGTGTGTGTGTGTGTGTGTGTGTGTGTGTGTGTGTACGTAGATTTTAAACAGATGCCATTTTCCTCAAGTTTATCACCAACCTATATTACATTTCATGTGTCTATTGTTGTCCATAGGGTCAAAACCAAAATCCGAGAAGTAAAACGTCAGATTTGAAGGTAATATAGGGATCTCGTGGTATGGAGGTTACGGTTTTCGTCTCTCATTCAATAGGTCCCGGGTTCGAGTCCGAACAGTGACGGCAAGTTTTCTTCTTTAAAAGTGTGTCCACTCAGCTCTTTTACTGCTCTCTAACAATGTTCCGTGATCTGGATTCGTCTCCACTTTCTGCCCCTACCCCCTCATCTACTTTGCCCCCTCCCCAAGGCTGATGACTCTTTCTGCAGCTTTTTTACTGCTACTCCTCGGCTCCTTCTCACTGCTGCGTTTCAGCCACACCCCTGATCTTTTGGTAGGAAAGATCTAACACCTTGCCTTTCGGATAAAGGGCTAAAATATCTCGGAGGACCTATGTGTAAGTTACGCACGTTAAAGTTCCCTTGGTGGTCTAAAATCGATCAGAGTCTACTTCGTCCGCCATCCGGGCAAAATTCAAAAATCCCTACGAACTAAAAATATTTAATGTGTCTCGCCCGCTCATAATATGACCTCGCTATGCAGTTGCGAGCGCCGAAAAACACTTATTTACTAAAACAAACAAAAAAGAAAGAAAAGAAAGTTGACAGGTTACGTGACGTCACACTGACCATGAGAACTGTGATCCTGAGCGGCCGGTCGCCGAACACATTCCCTGACAGTGACGCTACGGTGCTGTAAGACTTGGAGGGCTCCACTCGTTTGCTTACGTCAGCTGGTCGGCTTCTCCATGTTCCGCTCTAGGAAAGAGAAACAGGTTATGAACAACACACACACACAGACACAGGCACAGACACACACACGCGCACACACGCGCACGCACACAGACGAGCACACACGCGCACATACACAGGCACAGACACATACACGCGCACAGACAGACACACACACAGAAACAGGTTATAAACAACACACACACACACAGACACAGACACAGACACAGACACACTCGCGCGCGCACACAGACACGCACACACGCGCATACACGTGCATACACACATATACACACACAAACACATACAAACACACACACACACACACACACACATAAACACACATACAAATACACACACAGAAACACGTGATGTACGACACTCACACAGATACACACCGACACACCCACACACACACACACACA